CACACACACACACACACACGGACACACAAAGAGGAGCTCTCTCTCTCTCTCTCTCTCTCTCTCTCTCTCTCTCTCTCTCTCTCTCTCTCACACACACACACACACACACACACACACACAGAGGAGACACACAGAGGGAGAAAACCGGTGTACACCTAGGGCACGCACAAGGGGGAAACGGAGGGCACTTTTGCAATCGAATTACGAGAAGTGGCCTGGCTCTCTCCCTTCGTCCTCGCTGGTTTTCGTGATTTACGAACCTGACAATTTTTTCATAATACCCTCGCAACTACCGGTAGTCCTACCAGTGTGGTATGCTACAACACGCCAATCAAGAGCGCCTTGAACTGGCTTGCGAACGAACCTCCGGAGCAGGAGCAGGAGCAGGCGCAGGAACGCTGTCCTCTTGCACACCCAATTATTGCCACTTCTATCAAACGCGCCCTCTTCTCCGAGGCCGGACGAAGCGCCCTCTCTCCCTCTCTCCCTCTCACCACGGTGTTGCCGACTGACTTCAAATCCGGCGAATCGCGACTTTGAGGGCGATTCGCCGTCTTCTCTTCAGCGCCTTACCCGGCAACCTTGAGCCCGCTACTTTCGTCGAAATTACCGGTCGTACGGACGATGACGTGTTCCTAGAGCCCAGTCTTTCCCTCTTTCCCGCGGTCGTTCGCCCTCTTTCCCTCGGTCGTTCGCCCCTCTTTCCCGCGGTCGTTCGCCCTCTTTCCCTCGGTCGTTCGCCCTCTTTCCCGTGGTCGTTCGCCCTCTTCCCCGCGTGCGCGCGGTCGTTCGGCCCGCCCTCGGCCGTCACAGCGCCGCGTCCCTCATCCAAAAAGCCAATAAAGCGGAAATGTTGCGGTCGAATTGCAGTCGAACTAATAAAGGGCGTCGTTCCACGCCACTACACTCGAGAAACAAAAAAATTGTAATTGTACGGCCACCCTACAGCCGCCCTGCAAATCGAACGTAATTCAAAAATACTGTACTAGAGATTTTCCCCGTTCCACGCGGGAACTGCGCGGGGGCGGGGACCATTTATTTTATTTTATTTTTTATTATACACAGCCACACATCGCCTGTCCATTCTGTACATGGCGTTCGTGTCATTCAGAACGAGAGTGGTCCCGTTCAATTGCACATTGACGAGATAGATGACCACAAGCTTGTTGAGGAAATCGTAAACGGGCCTGATGAAAGTTCTCGATTGAATCAGCCTACCGCTGACACTTCTCTCCAAAACAAAAACAAAAAATAAAAAAAAATAAAAAAATAAAATAAAAAAGATTCCCGCAATTCGCGTTCAGAACCTGCTGCTCCCGCATAAAAAAAAACTACCCCAGCAGGGGAGAGGAACGCGCATCAATGTGAAGAAAAAAGCTGTCAACTTAGCGGTGGAGAGAGCAACCTCGCATCAATTATCAGGTGTCACTGGCCCTGGTATTACTAAACTTTGGAGAGCCTTGAGGAGCTATCCTGTCCAGAAGCAGGCCAGTATCATGTGGTTGCAATCCCTTCTGGTCACCCCTACGGCCACTTGGCTGGCTGCTAAGGGTATGGAGCTACCCCTGCAATGTTTAAGATGTAATTGGGGGTGGGAAAATATGTCCCACCTGTGGCTTTTTTGCCCTTTGGCAGTTGAGGTTATTGATTGGTGGATAAGTCATTGGAACCGGATCGTCAGGAGTTTTTGAGTGGTCAAATGCCTGGGTCCTTACAGGCATTCTCCCATCAGACCTCTCATATACTTCGGGTTGGGGATATGTAGCCCTGTGTTGCCGAGGGGTTCTGATGGAAACCATTTGGGCGGCCAGAAATGCCAGAGTTTTTAATGGGGATGTTACGGCTAAAAGGCATCGGCAGCTGCAGATCAAACAAGGGCTCAGAAGGATAATCAGGGCAGATTGGCATCGTAAAAATATCATCTGGTTCTCGAAGACCTGGGCTCTTGATGGTAGACTTGCATCTATTAACCAGGAGGGTTATTTTTCTTGCTGCTATTGGCTTTCTGATACTCATGATTGAGAGTTCGTATGAGCGGCCGTTGGTTAGGCCGTTTGCTCATTGTGTTTCGGCTTTAGCTGGTCTGGGTATGAACCGGTTGAGAAATAGTCTATATAGACTATTTATGTCTGCCAGTTAAGGTCTGATATTCTATCTATAGATTTCGATAACTTTTTTCTGCGCTTCAAGGTTGACTTTTTTGGGAAGCAATTATAATCAGAAGGAGTCCTCGGATTTAGGTTCCCTATGTAGGGAGGAGTTATCACTGGTGGAGGGACACAGACATGATTGGTGCTTGAAAGCTAAACTGGCTGAGGCTGCCAGGATAACTCCGGGTTGAATTGTGAGGTCCCCGGCCTCGTTCTGGATTTTGGAATATAAAAGTCTATGCTTCCAAAAAAAAAAAAAAGAAGAAGAAGGGCCAGAATTTGCATTCAGAACCTGCTGCTCAACCCCCTGGACAACCATGCTGGTGAGCAGCACTCCGTACGCCTGGTCATTTCCTGTTGCGTTGAGAACAATAAATGGTATATCTCCATAGCCTAGGCCTTCCATAAAAAAGTCGCAAAGGTCCACAGGTTTCAAGCGCTGCCCCTCCGGACCTTGAGCGCTTGTAGCCGAGTGGTAAGGGACAAGAGCAACCAAAACTGCAACAGCGCACATAGCGCGGTCTGCTGTCGAGAAACTTTTCCGCAACACCGCCAGTGCACTACCTTTCTGTTTACTGACAGCCGCGGATGACGTCAACACAAGCACACCGGAGAATTGCTGGCCCGGCAACTCTCTCCGAGCCAACTGCTTCGTTGTCCCGATGCGGAAGCAGCACGCTACTCTCACCACGTGTTAGTCACTAGCAACAGTTCAAAAGAACATGGGAAAGGAGTTATACTCGCAAAGTGCGACACACGAGCGCCACCCTGGAGGTCACGAGGTAGCAGCTTCCGATTCCACCAACTACAGTAAGGGCCTCGCCACACAGGCTGTCGAAATGTGCAAAACGAGAACGAACTTCCCGCTAGAACATGGCCAGATGCACCTGCCACATTTTTGTCGTTTTCATGTTTCGAAAGCCTGTGTGGCGAGGCCCTAAGATGTGCGAGCTGTGAATGGAGCTGAGAATGGAGGCTCCACCATTCACTTCATTCACCAAGAGGTCGTAGACTGCCGCAGCGGCTACAGCTGCTTTTGCAGACTTTTGCAAGAGTGCAGCTCACAGATCACCCGGAAGTAGCAGCTATGGTTATGGCTATGGCTATGGCTCACCGACTGACACTTCAGCATTTGACATGGACACGTGTCCGTTTCCTTCTCCTTAGGTTGTTGCACTCCACCCTTTCACTGACATACCGCGAGGACGCAAGCCAGCAGCCCGTACTTAGTGTGACCGCGAATCCGGGGCAAGGTCCCACTTGCCCGGATTACGAGATTTCGGCCGTTGATCTTCGCTATGGACGGTCAATATCGCATAATTGGTGCAAGTGGCACCTAGCCCCCGGCAGCAGTAAAGGCGAGTAGGAGTGAGGCGTGTAGACCCAAGTTCGAATACAGCGAATACAAAAACACATAGATGAGCACAGGGGACTGGACCTTTGGCCCAATCCAGCCGCTTTGTTTTTCTCCCTCTTTCTTCTCCCTTTTCTTTTTTCTTTTTTTTCTTTTTTTTTCTTCTTTTTTTTCTTTTTTTTTCCTCAAAATTGATCCATATATTCCAAACAAATTGTAGCGGGCCGGAGCGCTTCCGCCGGCGCTACGACGTTTCGGACCAAGCGCTAAGCCCCCGGTAACGTGGGCTTCTGAGTCAACCGCGTGCGCCGCCATCATGACATCGCCACGGGAGTTATGACCCTGCCCCTATCCGCCATGTCTCAGAGGGTCGACGATGATTACCTTATCAGGTGCTCATCGGCGATGGTGTCATAGTGACCTGTCGATTAGGTCCTACCATACGATACGAGCGAATTAGCTTATAAGTTGTTTGTGTAGAGTGACGACCAATAACTATTCCTCAGATCTTCCTAGTTTGTGGTTGTGGTAAGTAGTGTCGAAGAGGGGAGAGAACCTATGGCAGCGGTTCAAATGGAGGAGGGCATGCATCAACGTGGCGCTCGCTCTCCGCCACCTGACCCAGCAGGAGATAGAGATGTAGACGAGAGACTTAGAGAGTTGATGCGGCTATGTTACGAGGAAGGGATCATGCCTCCTAACATAGATCTCGGGGAGGTGACAGTAGAAGGAAGAGAAGCAAAATTCAAAGTCAATGAACGAATCGACAGAGTAAAGATCGCTTGGTTAAAAGAGCACACTGTGACAGTAATTTTCCGAGAACTGGCGAGATTCCTTCCCAAGCGAGTTAAAGACGATATTGTACGAGCATTCGAAGACGAAAAAACTCAGGACGAAAGCTTTGAAGCGGAGAATTTCGACGAGGGAGAGTTAAGGTGGAGAGCCCTAACGTGGTCTCATATGTCGCTAAATCCAGAGCAATCGCGGCATGGATGGTTACTAAGGGGCATGAAGAAATCACAATTGGACAAGACACCTACAAGCTGCAGTTTAAACCGTGGATGTCGAAGGTGCAACTCCAGGATCAACGACGGGAGGAGGACGAACTCACCTTTTGGGTGATAGCAGTTCAAGTTCCCCTGGACTCTTTCTTCTACTTGGAAGCTCGGGTGGCGAGGGCGATTGGTCCGATAATTCGAACGCATCCAACCGAACCAGATCGACTCAAACCACATGTGGTGAATGTTAAATTTGACATTGACCCAAGTTCGCGTCCTAACATGAAGGACAAGATTTGGGTCATCACGCCAGAAGGTGACGAGCTAGAAGTAAAGTTGGCGTCCTCGGAAACGCCGAGATGCAGACGATGCCGGGCTTTTTTCACACAGACAACGAGTGTCGACGAGGAGCGGGACAGCAGCAACAACGAAATGAAGCCAGTAGCGGAGTTCAAGGAACACTGACCAATCAAGGATATCAAGGCCCAATGGGCCCGTTGGGATTATCTCCATCACTCGCGGCACTTCATATTGATCCGGCTAATGCCCATTCAGGTGGTCAGCCATTTGTCAATTCCCGCCTCAACCCGACCTTCTCTCCAAGTCAACAAGTCGGATCAGTTGTGGGCCTAGGTGGCCAAGTCAACAACCAGACGGTGAACCAGCCATGGTTCCAACCATCTTCATACCCTCAGTATGGGATGCCAAGCTGGACAGGCAACGCCTTCATGCCATGGATGTCGCAACTAGCATTCCAGTAAGGCAATCATATTCTTCCTCCGAATGGGAGACAGGGACAGTACGGGGATACCGAACCCCCGGGTGAGCACTCCTGGAAAACAAAGACGTCTCGACATGGAAGGAAGCTTCATCGCAGGGGAGAACTCGAATGCCTCAATTCACTAAGATGAATCTACCGGAAGAGCGAAAGTAGTAGGTACTCTGGGTAGCTTCTCAGGAAAACGACGAGCTCCGGCCTCTCTTGGAAGAGGTCAAC